GCACTCAAAGGGTTAAGTCATAAGTAATTTATTTTGTCATATTTACATTTAACTTCACTCAAACTTCTTAACTTAATGCATGGCTAAGTCAATATAGGCTACAAAAAATACAGATTGTCTCTTAAACCATAAAATAGGTAGGCTAACTATAAACTAAACAATATTTACATTTAATAAATTCATGAACCAAGCATAGGCCTACCATATGCCCATGATTTTTCATGACCAATAAAATCACGGACACGGTAGAAACACTTGGACACCAGCAATTTTGGAAGCGATTTTTTTTACTCAATTTTTAGTTGGGTTGGCAATGAATTGTAAATCAGTACGCTATACCGTTATAAAATTGTTTTTTTTTAAAAGGGTGGTTTCGAATGCTTTAGTATCTGTAGATTAAGACTGTTTCACAAAGAATACTATGGACATGATCTGGAACTTGAAACATATCTTACATAACTTTGTTTCATGTGAAATTCTTTCTGGGGCTGCATTTGACACTTTGACTTAATTTAAGCTACCTAATAAGCTATTTTAACTACTTAACATTATCTTAATCTCAATTCTGTGTAAAGCTATTAACTTATTCAGAAACACAGACACTAACTTATTTTGTACTGTTTTAAGGCTATTTTGATACAGTAGACTCCCTTTTATCTGGACTCTTCGGGACCGAGGCAAATCCGGATAAGGTTTTCCGGTTAAACCGACGTCCCCAAAAACTTGTTATTTAACCCAAATATTTTACTTACATTTTAATCACTGGTCTGAAATCTTTCCCATGAGAAAAGTCGTTTCAGTACCGCCCACTTCCTGCCGATCTAGTCCGGTTAAACTGATGTGCTGATAAAAATTGTCCGGTTAAAGCGATGTAATTTCTGACGAGTGTAGTCCGATTAAACCGATGTCCGGTTAAAAGGTGTCCGGATAAGGGGGAGTCTACTGTAGGCCTAACGTAAATTTCCACTTGTAGCTGTGTTTTGGATTCCCAATAAAATATAAAGCTAAATATATTGTCTTCTTAAATAACTTAATATAGCTATCAATAAGTTGTCAGTAGGCTATTAACTTTTAAGTTAACTTTTGCATGATGTCTACCTCACTGAAGTTGAAACAGAAGTCTCCGAACAGTCCCAGATTTTAGTAGAGGGTCATGGAAGTCATACAATGTCACGTTTAACTTAACTTATTTTCCAACCAAGGTCTCAACAAATTGAGCAATAACTTATCTGCATGGGCAATACGGGCGTACCAGCTAAGTTAGGAGGTTTGTTATTCACAGAAATATCTATATGTTGACAGTGCTAAATGTCAGGTTTAATAGAAATAGGTTATATATAACTATTTTAGAGTAGGCTACTAATTTGTTTGTAAAATCAAATTCCTTAGTCTACCGTGTACACACTAGGCTATGAGGTCACCAATCTTTAAGAATTAGGTCCCAAGAGTCCCCAATTTTACTTTTGTTATTGAACTGGCAGACACCCTGTTTTGGAATCCTTTCAGTTAAGTTTTTGTTATATTAAGTACCGTAGACCAGTCTTGACCCGGATACTGTTAAGGTGTCTTAGCCTATAACTTAAATAACCTCAACTGAGTTGTAAACAACAATATGTAGCGGTACTCTTGACAGTTGGCGCAAAATATGTCGCTCTCAGCCATAGATAAATAAGACAATCTCTCCGACTCAAGAATTGATGACCTTTTTATTTTTTTAAAACTTAGTAGGCCTATGTCAATGATACGTTTATATAACTTAGACAATGAGAGTATTGTTAGCGATTAAAATACTACACAAAATTATATCACTTATAATACAACGTATAATTTTATGTACCATTTAGGCTAAGTTTATGTAGGGCCTACTATTTTATTTTTTATATAGCCCAGTACCTTAGTCGGACAAAGATGAAATTTTCACCAAAAGTTAGTGCTTGGTAAATCAGTAACTGACAAATGAAAAACGTATGGATTGGCCACAATTTACATGAACACGGCTATGAAGGTTAGCCTATGTCTTAGAGATTCTATCAACAACGTACGTGAATCATTTGTTTATCTCATCAGGTACGGTAAGTAAATAACTATTTGAAAAATAGTCTGCACCACTGTCCCTGGTCAACACCCCCTGTCCGAGTCAAAACAGTTGTACGGTAGGTAGGCTATCTGATAATAATTTCATCAAGGAACTTAAAGTAGGTGTAGCCTAGAGGCTTGGTCTTGTATTTTTAATCTAAGAGTAAAAAAAAAAAACAAAAAAAAAACAGGTGCATTAGAATACCTATCTAATTTAATAAGCTATTTATTACTTTCATCATCTCACCTTGTTGGTACCATTGGTCTGAAGTTCATGTAACTTAACTTAGTTTATTTAATTTTGATTTCAGACATCTGACGAGATGGACACAGACGAGGCAGAGTCATCAGGGAGTGGAGGACCGATGTCCTCGCTGAATAGTCTGTTCTCCTTCACTAGTCCTGCAGTGAAAAAACTGTTGGGCTGGAAACAAGGAGACGAGGAGGAGAAGTGGGCAGAAAAGGCAGTGGACGCTTTGGTCAAAAAGCTGAAAAAACAGAAGGGAGCGATTGAGGACTTGGAGCGAGCCCTCAGCTGCCCGGGACAACCGAGCAAGTGTGTAACCATCCCACGCAGTCTGGATGGTCGGCTTCAGGTTTGTTGTGTATTATATCTGTAAAAAATACATTTTATCTAGTGTCAAGTCTGGTCGTTTGGGGGGGAGGGCTTGTGTCCCTGTGCCCCTCCCCCTCCCTTGGATCCGCCACTGGCTGTATTGCCAATACATGAAAGAGTTTATCCAATAAAATTATAATATTCAGAGAGAATGAGTTATCTTGCTTTGAGTATAAAATATACAAGAAATTGAACATTTCTTGAAACACTCATATGGTGAAAATCCGGTTCTTAATTTGAAAGGTGGGTAGGCCTATTTGGCGAGTGAGAGTGGTTTATGACCCAGGATAAATGAGGACTGTTGTTTTTGACACTAGTTAATGTTTTAGACCTACACTCTTTGTAACTATCTAGATAAGGTTAGATAGCAACAGGTCCATTTTTTTTACAATTTCTTTACAGTAATCTAGGTACTTGTTTTTTTTTTCAATTTTTGTTTTGTTTGCAGGTTTCCCACAGGAAGGGTCTCCCACACGTGATATATTGCAGGGTGTGGAGGTGGCCTGATCTACAGTCTCACCATGAACTCAAGCCTTTGGAACTCTGTCAGTATCCCTTCTCTGCCAAACAAAAGGAAGTCTGCATAAACCCTTATCATTACAAGAGGGTTGAAAGCCCAGGTATGACTTTAAGTTATTTTTTTTTAGTTTGGGCGCTAATATAAAATCTTGAAAGTAGTAATGTAGTTTGATCTTGATCTAAAGTTGTGATTGTGGCACTAGTAAATAGTGGCAACTAGCCATGTCAGAAACCATTTCGTCCAACAATCGACACCTAATGTCCTCTGGGTACGAAATATTGGGGATTTTCTGTGTCACCTTTGTGTATTATTGCCTTAGTTGAATTGTTTAATGGTTAGCCTATCTGCTATCCCAAATTTTAAACCACAATTGGATAAGGTTTATTTAATATTTTACAGTGCTGCCGCCAGTCCTGGTACCTAGACACAGTGAGTTTGCGCCGGGCCACTCCCTACTGCCGTTCCAACAGATGCCAGAGCCTACGATGCCTGCCAATGTGTCGTACTCCACCAGTGGCTTTAGTGGTGGCCCCACCTCACCCCTCAGTAGTGTACCTTCCCCTGCCACGTCCAATCCTCATAGTCCCTACAGCGCAAACGGTCTGTCAGGTTAGTCTCATGCCATTTTTTAATGGTTTTTGTCAGGAAACAAACCAAATCCAGCATTTGATGCCATACTGTTTCACGAACAATTTAATTATTAGCCTAATAAATGGCAGTACCCCTCACTCAGGATCAAACTTGCATCCTTTCTATTTGTTAATGAGCTCTATACTAACCGCTTAGTTATACATCTTTCTAACACGTCTTTTTTCAGGAAACAATCCAAAATTAATTCGATTGAAATGATTGTAATTTTTAATCGTCACCCTTTTAAATAGTATACATCCGTTGTAGTCGGGTTTGCGACACTGTTCTAATATGACCTCAACCTCATTAGGTTTAGACCTCAAACTTTAAGTATTTAGAACACTTGTAATTGAAGCATTGCCTTCAAACTCCTTGTGGACAGTCCTCAGTATGCAGAAATAAATAATTTATTTGCTTCAATAAGTAAAAAGTACCTGGGGGCCGAGCTTTGCTCGGGAAACTTTATTACTACACTATACTCTGAGAGTATTATTTGGTCAATGTAATTCTATCCCAAAAATAATAATTTGTGGTATATCTTTTCTTGACAGCTATTTAACTTCTATTAAAATAATAATATCATAGTTTACTGAAATGATGAGATAGAAGAGTTTTTAAAAATTTGTTTGGTTCCCCTAAACGACCCAAGCTATAAAAATTACCCAGTATTTTTCACGCTGAATTCGAAAAAGGCAAAAAGGCTATCAGCAGTAAGAAAATCTTCGTCACTGCAAGAACTTGGACTCGCTCCGAAACCAGAACCGAAACCTTTAACTTACCCTTAATTTTTAAAATGTAATAAGTTGCAATTTTCCGGAAACTCAGGACACTTTCTGACTGAAAAAAATTACGGTTGATCCTTGTTGGTGAGTACCAAAAAGGGAACTTAGGTATAAACATGGTTGTATATCCAAGTTTGGTTGTCCTCGATATAATTGCACTATTTTATTGACTCTGATAAATTATAGACTACAGGCTGCCCTATGGGAGTTTATTTGATATCTAGTCCTAAACGTATAGCCATCTTAAGGCAAACATAACTAAAACCTAACCACAGAGATATAAATTTAAGTGATACAAATATAAACACTCATCCTCTGTAGGCCTAAAGCTACCTACCTATATTTTATTTGGGTTAGTACTTTTTGAGAGAGTGTCATTATGTACTGAACACACCTAGATGATATACGGTATTAGCGGTATTAGTGATTCATGAAATTATTCATTTATAAAAAACAACCTAACCGAGTTACCTTAATAATGTACCCAGTATTCAATACAAAAATTAAAGCTTATGCCTATGTATATTAGTTTTAAAACGGAGTAGAATAAGGCACATATAATCTAGATTAGGCATTGATAAGTGTTAATAAACTAAAAATGGATGAACCACTAAGTCAAGCTACTAACCCAGTTGTTCAGGCTAGGCTAAACTGAGTCCTGAAAGCATCCATCTCAAAACAGCCAAAACTTAAGAACAGATCCTAGGATTCGATTTTTAAACTTTATTTTTCTGAAATAGATAGCTAAACTGTCCAGTGCAATCATCCCACACTGCTGTTTAGCAACACTCAAACTTAGTTAGGTAAGCTAGTTGTAGGTTACAATTAATCATTATCCCTGTGACCAATTCAGTGTACCATCTTGACATCAGTCAGAATCAGACGACATTTTTGACAACGACACGACTCGACAACCAACGAAAAGAGTAATTTAGTGATAATAATTATTACTAAAAGCATTTAAAATAATAAAAAATAAAATATACCGTATCGCTCTTTTACATTGGCAAAAGTATTAAATAAACAGTAATAAAGCTGAGGATAATGCAAGAATAGTTTTTTTAATGGATTAGAAACTCATTACTCTGGAAAGATTTATAATGTAATACAAATTCTTATACATCAAACGATTTAATGAACTGGAGCAAAGTTAAGTCGTCCTCTTTCTCTCTGTCACAAGTTGACAAAATTGTATGTCAGAAGCTAATTGCTAATACAAATCAGAAGAAAAACAGTTACCTCGGAAAGTGCTTCTGCGCATGTGCAAGCTGAGGTGCCCATGGTAACAGAACGTCGAGTTATGTCTTAAAATGTAAACAAATGACAATAATGGTGGAATGTTTTCTCATAAGGCCCATGTTAAATTTTCAAAAGTTTGTTCTCATATGGCGAAAATAGATTTTTCCTGGCTATACCACTGGTCTAGAACTTATTTTTGACACAGAACTTAGTTTTTCCGTCAATATAAACTTTTTGTTAGAGCCAATTCCCAGATCGAAGTAACAATTATTCAAACTTTACTCATATTATATATAGGACACCACCATGCATAGGTCTACCATATACCTTAATTAATTAGGTTTATATTTTTTTTTATGTCCCACCTTCACATCCAAGGACGCTAGATGGGTTATGACATTATCACATGTATAAAATCCATTTGTGATTGGCGGGATTTGAACCCGGGACCTCGGGCTCAAAGCCCCGTGCTCTGCCACTAGATAGCTCACTCCCCGATTACTATATATATATATTATGCTTACAATAATAGTAGACACTTGCTAAGTCTGGCATGTTCAGAACATCGCCTAACTAACTAACTATGTCGGATTATTAAAAATGCTGTAGGCTACTTATATTACCTTCTTACATAGCTGTTATTGCGAGTCTAGGAGAAATACCACTAAAATTGAGTGAAAAGGAAACCATTGGCCAACAAGCTTTTGTTCTGTGTTCTTTTTATTGGCCTAATTTCCGTTATTTAGTAGAAATATAAAATGGTAAATAAAAACACACCTTTAATCATTTTAGTGCAATCGATGTCCTCCTTTTTAAGCCTGACATACATTAACCTAACATACATTTGTGATTTCTATCGCTAGTTACGTATTTTCAATGCACTTTTGGTTTTTCCCGCAGTTTGCATAACTTGTGTGATCTATAGTAGTGCAAAAATAACACACACTAACCTAAATGTTATTGAAAACAATTAACTGCATGTGTTTGTGTGATACATTAACACTGTATTTAACAGCAAAAACCTTTTCTCTGACACCTGTTACTGCTAATCAATTACTTCTAAGTTACTACTATTAACTTTGTGCAAAGTGCTGTGAATTAACTGCAACAAAACGGAATGCCATCCCCATACTCTTTGAAAGCCCTGTATATTGAAATTACTAATCATCTCTGGCAGCACTGCATAATCCTGATGGGGACAGAATTAATTGATAGATGAAAGTGAGAGAAATTATCTTTTAAAAGCAAAGCGATTAAACTTAATTTAGTGGTGTAATGTCATTGGTGTTAGACAAACTACTTTAGCAAAAAATTTTATATTGAGGCCTACCTAAATTAACTTAAGCTGAGGATCATATGTATGGTGATGTAGTTTTAAACATAAGCTACTCATACGTATCCTTCTAAACTTTGCATTGATTGAACACTATTTAGTTAAAGTTGTATCTAAATAAGCATTTTGATGTAAACCATACAATGATTTGATATCATTAATAATTTAAGAAGTATAATGTAAAAATGATGTTCCAGAATCACCTCCGCCTGCTTATAGTCCGCCAGAAGAGAGTCAGCATGCGCCTTCGCCCCCTCTGAGCCGGGATACAATGGACACCACCAGCACAGAGGTCGCCCCAGTATCCTATCAGGTATGATTACAATCTTAAAATATTCCTAAGATTACCTCTAGTTACATATTTTAATGCACTTTGGTTTTTCATGCAGTTTGCATAACTTGTGTGATCTAATGTAGTGCTACAATAATGCACACTTTAACCTGAATGTGATTGACAAACAATACACAGCATGTGTTTGCGTGATACATTAACACTGTTGTAACGGCCTAGCCGTTTATACTCCTAATAATTAAATTCTAAGCGACTGCTCAGGAGATATGATAATTAAATGAGATATTGGGTAGGAGTAACGGCCAAATTTGTATAAATGGCCTGGTTTGGTGTTAACATCGACTAATTACACCTTTATCAATACATTAGTATCAATAATTAATCAATATATGATCATCGGCCAAACGTGGTCAGAAACTTTATTCGAGTAATTATTTGAAGATAATTGAGTCTCCATATGAATATCCCAGCATCGCCAAACTATCTCCAACCTCGTTTAAATTATAACAATATTCTAATAGTAAAAGTTATGAAGCTGGAATATGTTCACTAACCGGTGCTGACTCGGGCTTTCTGCTGACGGAGCTAGCCTCCGTTGGGGAGTGTATTTGGCGGGCAAAGAGGTCGAGCCTTGCGCAGGGTGTCGCTCAGTGACTACGCTGAACGCTGATTGGCCCGCGAGGCGCATCAGCGCTGCCGACAACGAAAGAATAAGAAAGTCCGCGTTGAAATCTCAATTAAAACAGACGTGACTCCGCACTCCCTGGAACCGCAATTTTATTTCTTTACTCTAAATTCATTATCTAAATTTTTTTTGTAAAAAGTTGTTGTTTAAAAACCATAATCGTATAATTTTAGTAAATTAATCAAGTAATAAATCCCATTTTTGTGCAACTGTGTGCGTGAATTAAGCTCCCAAAAACTCTCTCGGTTAACGCAATCAGTTCGAAGTCACGATAATTTTCGGCTGACGAGGCTACGGTTCTCACTGTATTTACGACAACAACAAAAACCTTTCGATTGACAATAAACAATATTTTAACGACTCACTAGTGATAATTTATTAAAATAACATGAAATTCAGCCCGATTTTTCTACCTCTAGTTACCTATAGGGGTGTGCGAAGCAGCAAAAAATTTTCGATTCGAAGCAACGATTCGATTCAAAAGATTTTCGATTCGATTCGATGCAATTCGATTCGAAGCAATACGGTATTTTTCTATTCATAATTGTCAATTGAGTGGATTAACAATAAATTAAAATTTACCACATTTGTGTAAGACAAATTTTTGTTGATGTGGTATTAGGCCAATTCATACTTAACATATGAATTTTAGGTTAACAAATATTTATTTTCAATCATATATTAGAATAACCTGTATTGCTGGAAATACCAGTGAGCTGCTTTACTTGCCTATTTCATAATTTTTACTTGGAATTGGCTCAACTGCAAGAAAGAAGAAAATCATTTTTTTATCAAGACATTCATTCTCATTTTAATAACTTTAAATAACTAAATAGGTAGCTAAATTACAACAAATTTGAATGGAACTTAAATATAAAAAGACCATTAACAAATCAATTAACATATCACAAGTTTAGGGCCTGTGGACCGGCTTCAGGACTGCAAGCAAGAAGAAAATAAAAATAATATGTTTCCAACATGCAACATGTATCATTCATTCCCTGCCTCCTAACCTCCTTAGTATAATAACCTCACACTTACATTATTTGTTACATCATCATAAATAAAGAATTATCTATTATTGGCATCAGTAGGCCTACAGCTTTACATAGGCATTATTTTTCTATAGGGCCTAAAATAGTAATAGGCTAGAAGCAACAAGTGGATAACTCATTGAAGAAAAGATATTGTGTAAACTAATTTCCTATAAAACTCAAAAACAGTAAATAACATACAAACATTGTTTATGGTATAATTAGTAAGGACTAAAAAATGCATATCATGTCATACAGTAGTATAGACCTACTGCAAGAGATTAAAATTCCTAAAACAACTGATTTTGATAGCTAATGAATGAAAAGAATTAAAAATCCATAAAATAAAGCCAAACAATATCACAATTAATTAGGTACCCGAAAAGTAACTCTTAAATAATATATAGAAGATTAAAATAATATTAAATCAAGAGATAAGAAAGTTAAATGCTAACTTCTAGTGCCCTTAGCAACACAGGTCAATGTTTTTAAACTACCCTCAATGTTTTTGGAACAGCAGGGTCTTATTCTCTGAAGGATGGGTAGTAGTATGTCAACAAAAACAATGAATCACTCTCACCAGCCAGGCCAGGGCAACATGTGTGCATTCAAGGTCATAGACCCTCCCCCTCCCCCTCCCCTCTTACACCACCCGGTTGCTCCAATTGCTGACAAAATGCAAGTGATAAAACAAGGAAGTAGAGACAAAAAAATATATTTCTTTATTCAAAAACACAAAACTGTAACAGATCATTTTCAAAGAAATTAATTCATTGTAATTTGTGAGTTGTAAATATTGTATTGGATTTTAGAAAAATATATTTTTTAAACCCCATCTAACCAAGATACAGATCTGTTTACTATATCAGATATTTCTTTTGTTTGTATTATGTAAAATACTAAAATTTATTTTTAATTAGGTATGGAATAAATGATTAAACTAGTATGTCTGTATAAATAGTATTTTTTTTTACTTTGTTTTCTTTGCACTGTTAGTGTTGCGTCACGGCTTTTGTCTTGTCACTCTTGTCAGTAGACGACTAGACTGGCTCTGGCTAGTGGCAGTGCGGCAATTGCTCTGTTGTGTCTTTTTTCTTAAAGGTCGTGAGCCAAACTCAAACTTTAATTCTCATTTGAACATTTTAATTCCTCTGTAATAATAGATATAATAGGCCTAATATAAGAGTGTTTCTTTGGAAATAAATTATTCTTTTTTTTTCGAACAAATCTTTGACCTGACCTGAAAAATTCGGGGACCCACAGACCCCTAACAAAAATGCCAAATTTATCAGTCTAAAACATCAATCTTGCTAGTTAAGTAAGTAACAATTTTTCAGACTTATTTTTAGAATGATTTTGGATTAGCCTATCTTGTTTTGGTAAGGTTTAAACAGTAGTAAAACATGTCTCATACTGCTTACATCAAGACAAAAAACAAAACCTCACATCATTTGCAATGTCAAAAAAAAAATTATAAAACAATTAAAGCTATATTTAATGCAAAGAATGTATTAAATAAGAACGCCTTCGTAAAGGAAACGCAACCGCAACGCACTCCTGTATTGCGGGTATTGCATTGACTTTCTGCAGGCGTTTTTCGTATATGGATACTGACTCCCTCATGAATCGAATTGTTTTTTGACCACCACTGAATCGAATCGCGATTCGATGCATCGAATCGAATCGAATCGAAATTTCGATGCATTTTCGATGCATCGCACACCCCTAGTTACCTATTTTCAATGCACTTTTGGTTTTACATGCAGTTTGCATAACTTGTGTGATCTCACAGCATGTGTTTGTGAGATACATTAACACTGCATCTACAATAACAACAAAAACCTTTCGATTGACGATTAACAATATTTTAACGACTCACTAGTGATAATTTATTAAAATAACATGAAATTCAGCCCGATTTTTCTACCTCTAGTTGCGTATTTTCAAAGCACTTTTGGTTTTACATGCAGTTTGCATAACTTGTGTGATCTCACAGCATGTGTTTGTGTGATACATTAACACTGCATCTACAATAACGACAAAAATCTTTCGATTGACGATTAACAATATTTTAACGACTCACTAGTGATAATTTATTAAAATAACATGAAATTCAGCCCCATTTTTCTACCTCTAGTTACCTATTTTCAATGCACTTTTGGTTTTACATGCAGTTTGCATAACTTGTGTGATCTCACAGCATATGTGTTTGTGAGATACATTAAGAGTCTTCCGTAGTGGAAGCCATGTTGGATTTCTTCCCCATAAGAACAATGTTATGTTAAACATTACATCATTTGTGGACACGTAACGGCGTTACTTGTTAAGATATAGCTTTGAAATTTATATTTGTATTTTTAACATAATAGACTCGTGACTGAGGTTTTTGAATTTCGAAAATCCATTTTCATTTCCTTTCAATAATTAGCTTAATTTTAAGCTAATTAATAATCAATTATTCATTATAAAAATTAAAAATTGTGAAATAAAAAGCGTCAATCTCTAGAGGACCGCAATTCCTTAAATTTAACTCCTTATCCATAATTATATGACAATTTGCTGATGAGATATTTGGACCCAAAGTTAACATTGTTCTTATGGGGAAGAAATCCAACATGGCTTCCACTACGGAAGACTCTTAACACTGCATCTACAATATCGACAAAAATCTTTCGATTGGCAATATTTTAACCACTCATTAGTGATAATTTATTAAAATAACATGAAATTCAGCCTGATTTTTCTACCTCTAGTTACCTACCTATTTTCAATGCACTTTTGGTTTTACATGCAGTTGGCATAACTTGTGTGATCTCACAGCATGTGTTTGTGTGATACATTAACACTGCATCTACAATAACAACAAAAACCTTTCGATTGACGATGAACAATATTTTAACGACTCACTAGTGATAATTTATTAAAATAACATGAAATTCAGCCCGATTTTTCTACATCTAGTTGCGTATTTTCAATGCACTTTTGGTTTTACATGCAGTTTGCATAACTTGTGTGATCTCACAGCATGTGTTTGTGTGATACATTAACACTGCATCTACAATAACAACAAAAACCTTTCGATTGACGATTAACAATATTTTAATGACTCACTAGTGATAATTTATTAAAATAACATGAAATTCAGCCCGATTTTTCTACCTCTAGTTGCCTATTTTCAATGCACTTTTGTTTTTCATGCAGTTGGCATAAATTGTGTGATTTTTTTTAGTGCTACAATAATGCACACTTTAACCTGAATGTGATTGACAAACAATACACAGCATGTTTTAGTGTTATACATTAACACTGCATCTACAATAACAACAAAAACCTTTCGATTGATGATTAACAATATTTTAGTGACTCACTAGTGATAATTTATTAAAATAATATGGAATTAAGCCCAATTTTTCTACCTCTAGTTGCGTATTTTCAATGCACTTTTGGTTTTTCATGCAGTTGGCATAACTTGTGTGATCTAATGTAGTGCTACAATAATGCACACTTTAACCTGAATGTGATTAACAAACAATACACAGCTCGTGTTTGTGTGATACATTAACACTGCATCTACAACAACGAAAAGCCCTTTCGATTAGCCTAACAACTCTAGTTAGTGTTAATATTTTATCTAAAATTAAAATAATGCTATGAAATTCAGCCTGTGTTTTCTACCTCTAGTTACATATTTTAATGCACTTTGGTTTTTCATGCAGTTTGCATAACTTGTGTGATCTAAGGTAGTGCAACATTAGCACACACTAACCTGAATGTGATTAACAAACAATACACAGCTCGTGTTTGTGTGATACATTAACACTGCATCTACAACAACCAAAAGCCCTTTCGATTAGCCTAACAACTCTAGTTAGTGTTAATATTTTATCTAAAATTAAAATAATGCTATGAAATTCAGCCTGTGTTTTCTACCTCTAGTTACATATTTTAATGCACTTTGGTTTTTCATGCAGTTTGCATAACTTGTGTGATCTAAAGTAGTGCAACATTAGCACACACTAACCTGAATGTGATTAACAAACAATACACAGCTTTTGTTTGTGTGATACATTAACACTGCATCTACAACAACGAAAAGCTCTTTTGATTAGCCTAACAACTCTAGTTAGTGTTAATATTTTATCTAAAATTAAAATAATGCTATGAAATTCAGCCTGTGTTTTCTACCTCTAGTTACATATTTTAATGCACTTTGGTTTTTCATGCAGTTTGCATAACTTGTGTGATCTAAAGTAGTGCTACAATAATGCACACTTTAACCTGAATGTGATTAACAAACAATACACAGCTCGTGTTTGTGTGATACATTAACACTGCATCTACAACAACGAAAAGCTCTTTTGATTAGCCTAACAACTCTAGTTAGTGTTAATATTTTATCTAAAATTAAAATAATGCAATGAAATTTAGCCTGTGTTTTCTTTTAATGCACTTTGGTTTTTCATGCAGTTTGCATAACTTGTGTGATCTAAAGTAGTGCAACATTAATGCACACACTAACCTAAATGTGTTTGACAAACAATACACAGTATGTGTTGGTATGATACATTAACAAACTGCATCTACAACAACGAAAAGCCCTTTTGAGCTAATACTTTAACTCAAAAATTAAAATAATGATGCTATGAGATTTAACCTGTGTTTTCTACCTCTAGTTACGTATTTTCAATGCACTTTGGTTTTTCATGCAGTTTGCCATAACTTGTGTGATCTAAAGTAGTGCAACATTAATGCACACACTAACCTGAATGTGATTGACAAACAATACACAGCATGCGTTTGTGTGTTACATTAACACTGCATCTACAACAACGAAAAGCCCTTTTGATTAACAACTCTAGTCAGTGCTAATACTTTATCATAAATTAAAATAATGCTATGAAATTCAGCTTGTGTTTTCTACCTCTAGTTACATATTTTAATGCACTTTGGTTTTTCATGCAGTTTGCATAACTTGTATGATCTAAAGTAGTGCAACATTAATGCACACACTAACCTGAATGTGATTGACAAACAATACACAGCATGTGTTGGTGTGATACATTAGATAATAGACAATAGACAAATTCTTTATTCCTTCAACATGTGACTATGCAATTTCGTCCTAGGACAAAATTGTACTGTCCAGTCGGCCTCAGATAGCTAATCTAATTGAGTATGTCCAGGGTTAGTACAGTAGAACCTTGATAACAAGACTCTCATGGGGATTGTAAAATAAGACTTGTTATCGAGGTTTGTAATAAGATGTGATTAGAGGTAAAACAATTTCAAGGGGATTTGAAAATGACACTTGTTATGAAGGGCAACTTGTTATCGAGGGTATTCTTATCAAGGTTCCACTGTAGTAATAATAATAGTATTTAGTTTTAAAATATGGGCTCAGATATGGTCGTTAGGCATCAGCTTTCAGTAAATGACACATTCATCACTGCCCGGGTAAAGCCTTAATATAAACAAATTAGTAAATTTTGACTAATTTGTGTGAATTCCGTGAGTGAAACACTGATCGTAATTAACTAAAATCGTTAACTTAAAAAATAAAACAAATCTCTACTTAATACCATGTTTCACTTTTTGAATTAAAACCAACGATGCTTAAAATAATCCGAATCGAATGTCGCCGGTCCACGAGTTATTTCGCCCTAGCCTAACACCTGCTATTCGACAATGACAGAGTTATTTCACCACTGGCTTATTACCGGGCTATTCCGCCCTCGACCTAAGGTTTCGCGATGTATATGCGCGGATCCAAGAGCAATCCCGCCCTTGGCCTATCACCTAGTGTTCGACTTTACCAGAGTTGTTTCACCACTGGTTTATTTAACGGGATATTCCGCCCTCGACCTATTGTTTGCCAATATACACGGATCCTAGAGCTATTCCGCCCTTGGCCTATCACCTAGTGTTCGACGCTACCAGAGTTGTTTCACCACTGGTTTATTTACCGGGGGCTATTTCGCCCTCACCCTACAAGGGAGAGATGTTGCTAGCTATTAGCCCAGCGCTCGAGTGTCTGTCTGTCCCCTGTCCTGCGCCGTATTTATATGGGTCGCGACGCTAGCGCGGTGCGTGGCTGTTTGGAGAACTAATGACCCTGCGCGGGTGATTTGAAATCCTATGAACGCTGGTTTTCTGATATCTTAATATTTTTACCATTACAAACAATATACGTTACACATATTGTAATAAACATCGTCAAACTTGAATAGCAAATAACAAACTTACAAGGCAGCAAATATTTGTTCTGTCAAAAGATACATACAATACATAAATAAATGTCACAAAAATATATCTAATCCGTCTAGAACAAGGTCGTCTTAACTAGGCATCAAAAACGCACCTAGTTCATATATTGTCATAAAAAGTTTTTTTTAGCGTAATGGATTTCATTAACCTCATAATTTTTAGCTACTCAACTAAGCCTAGAGAATTATACACAAAAGTTTTTCTGACCCAGTAAGTTTCTGAGTTCGGTCTGTATTCTGTGGCAAAACCTATATGGTTTATCTAGCTAAATCATGTTTACAGGTATCTTTAGCAATGTGCTGTAACATTATAACATGTTGTTACTTGGTTGACAGGAACCACTGTACTGGGCCAGTATAGCGTACTACGAGCTGAACTGTCGAGTGGGGGAGGTGTTCCATTGTCAATGTCACAGTGTTATTGTCGACGGATTCACCAACCCAAGCAACAACCTCAACCGGTTCTGTCTCGGCCAGCTGAGCAACGTAAACCGCAACTCCACCATTGAGAACACCAGGAGACATATTGGCAAAGGTGAACAATCCCAGTGTTGTATTATGTTGAGAATTCATTACCTTTTGACAAGCATTATGTGTTTGGACCCAAAAAATTTACTTTAGTTTTTGATGGTGGCCAATACGTGTAAAATTGTTTGTGGCAGCTCATGTGTGTACTTTTTTGTTGGCCAAATTGGATGTCAGTCTCAAAATTCTGTAGTTAATTGCATCAAAGTCTCACTATAAAATATCATTAAGGCATTTAAATGTTTAATATTTTTCACAAAGTACAACAGAAACAACACACAACAAAGTAGCCGATAAGAAATGTACATTTTTAACCTTTGGTAACGTAACTGCCCACTTAAGTAAGATATGAAGAAGAGTGTTCTTGTTTGAAAACTATATATTTGCAGTAAATCACATAGTTTTTTTTTATAATTCATAAAAACCAAAAACACTATTAATTTTCCTACTTCCTCCCCTCTCCACAAATCTGACACTACAAATAGTTAAGCCTAACTTTTTATCAAGCAATAACTTAGAGAGACTATATTGCAATCTGGAGTCAAAGGACAAATTTAACTTCACTTCAATTATTGACGCTTAGGTGTAAAGTGCCCTAAGGATTGAATTAAAAAAAAGTCTTCTCTCGGCTGTTAATTGATAATTAATTGTATTACAAATCACCCTCAATTACTATATGATGGTTGACAGGAGTGCACCTGTACTACGTGGGCGGGGAGGTGTATGCAGAGTGTTTGTCAGACAGTGCCATCTTTGTGCAGTCTCGCAACTGCAACCACCACCACGGCTTCCACCCCTCCACCGTGTGCAAGATCCCTCCTGGTTGCTCGCTCAAGATCTTCAACAACCAGGAGTTTGCTCAATTGCTCTCCCAGTCAGTCAACCACGGATTTGAGGCTGTTTATGAGCTTACCAAGATGTGCACAATCAGGTGAGCGGATGTAATCCATGATTTTACATGGAGTGGTGTATAATCCTTGGCCTTTTTTACTATAAGTTTTCTGATTTTGTAAGTTACCATACCACACTTGTGGTAATCAAATCAAATCAAGCCACTCCTATACTGTGGCGACCAAGCCTCATGAATATCAGACTTTGTGACCTGTGCACATGTAAGTAAGGTACTGGGTCAACGTTTTCACATGCCACCATATAAAGCTTTAACTGTCATTAGGGGTCTGCGGGTCCCCGATTTTTTCGGGTCGGGTCGGGCCAGCGGAAGGCCCGAGAGACCGGGTCGGGTCAGAGATTTGTTCGGGCCAAGATCGGGTCGGGCCAAAAAAATAATGATTTATTTTCAAAGAAACACTCCTATATATATTATTACAGAGGAATTAAAACGTTAAAATTAGAATTAAATATTAAGTTTGCTCACGACGTTTAAGAACAAAGACACAACAGAGCAATTGCCGTACTGTCACTAGCCAGAGCCAGTCGTCTACTGACAAAAGCCGTGACGCAACAGTGCAAAGAAAACGAAGTCAATAGAAAGACTATTTATACAGAGGTACCAGTTTAATTATTTATTGTTTACTCCATACCTAGTTTAAAATATATTTTTATTTTAGTATTTTACATAATAAATTATAAACAAAAGAAATATCTGATATAGTGTACAGATCTGTATCTTGTTCTTTTATTTTCCTATTGTCCTTTTTGTAATTCAGTAACAAAACAAAACAACACTTCTGATCTTCTGGTTCGGCATTGTTTGGTCACCATTTCATTTTTTTTCAAGTATCAAGTATCAGCAAGTCTACAAAGAGGTTAGGCCTAAATATTTTATAATTTTATGAAATTTTTCATCAATAAAATTATTTTTTTGTTAAGTTAGATTGAGTTTCAAAAAAGATATTTCTAAGATCCAATGCAATATTTACAAGACACAAACTACCTTGAATTAATTTAATATCTTTGGAAATAATCTGTAACAGTTTTATATTTTTGAATAAAGAAATATATCTTTTTGTCTCTACTTCCTTGTTCCGTTACTTGCATTTTATCAGCAATTGGAACAACCGGATGGTGTAAGAGGGGTGGGGGAGGGGGAGGGTCTATGACCTTGAGTGTCCCCGGGCCTGGCTCGCAAGGACCTGGCTGTGAGAGTGATTCATGGTTTTTTTTTTGTTTACATTCTACTACCCTTCCCTCCGAAAAAAGACCCTACAGTTTCAAAAACATTGACTTAAAGTTTAAAAACATTGAGTTGTGTTGCTAATTAGGGCACTATAATGTCTCTGCTGTCTGCTTATGTTGCCAAATTATCATTTAACTGTATTTTCTCTTGCTTTAATATAATTTTCTATTATTATTTTTTTTTTTATAAAACAAACAAGCAATCTTTATTTACATTTTTTGACATGGAAAAATAATAAAACTTTTTCTATTTAGATGAATAAAAAGCTGGTACTCCAGCCCCATCTTCGAACTCTCTAAGGGTCCTCCACTTCTTTCTTGTCCTCCTTAGACACATGCTGCTGGCCCTTAACGTCGCACAGATGGTTTTCACCCTTATCCAGTTCATCACTAAACTGTAAGGTTTCTTCCATTTTTCTGTGAGGCGTTCTGCCATTGCTCTGAGCAAGGTCTGAAATTCTTTGCCTAGCATTCCGTCCACAGACGTGACTAGTGGGGTGAAAGAAGCATTTCTTGTTTCTGATATTGTTAAATATTTTTTCTTCTTCTCTCTTTCTGCATTCTCCAGAACTTTTTCGTATGGGAGGTTCAAGTACGATGGAGCATCAGTGTCAACGACACGTACATCGAATAATGCTTCTGTCTGAACCTCCCATACACCCCTACAAGCCAAGTCTGCTTTTAGTGCTGCAGCATCCAATGACCCTTGCTCAGAGATCATTGGTTCTCGAACACAGTTTCCCCATGCTATCTCCATCAAGCTTCCAAGAGTATCCCTTACCTCATTATGTCTTCTTATTATCAACCCACCTGTGCGACAGTTAAGGGCATGTTCCATACATATAGTATTAAATTATTATATTAAGAGTTCCTTTTCGGATACCTAATTAATTGTGATATTGTTTGACTTGAGTTTATGGATTTTTAATTCTTTTCATTTATTAGCTATCAAAATCAGTTGTTTTAGGATTTTAATCTCTTGCAATACCGTAGGTCTATAATACTGTGTATGACATGATATGCAATTTTTACAGTCTATACTATAACTATACCATAAACAATATATGTGTGTTATTTACTGTTTTAGAGTTTTATAGTAAATTAGTTTGTAACACAATATCTTTTCTTCAATGAGTTCTCCACTTGTCATGTTGCTTAGCCTATTACTATTTTTTTAGGCCCTATAAAAAATAATTCCTATGTAAAGCTGTAGGCCTGCTAATGCCAATAATAGATAATTCTTTATTTATGATTATGTAACTAATAATACTATTGTAAGTGTGAGGTTTTATACTTAGGAGGTTAGGAGGCAGGGAATGAATGATTCACATTGCATGGTAGAAACATAGAATTTTTATTTTCTTCTTGCTTGCAGTCTTGAAGCCAGTCCACAGGCCCTAAACTTGTGATAAGGTTAATTGATTTGTTTATGATCCTTTTATATTAAGTTCCATTAAAAACTTGTTGTAATATAGCTATTTAGATATTTCAACAGTTATGAAAATGGGAAAGAGGGCTTGATAAAAAAAATTATTTTCTTCTTTCTTGCAGTTGAGGCAACTCCTAAGCTGTAAATAAGTTATGAATATGAAATAATCCTACATAAATACAATCTTTTTTCATAATTTATTTTCAAGTAATATTATTAGTATGTTATATGGTATTTATTCCTTTGGAAGAACCTAGTATTAAAATCGTATTGGTGGATATTTTGTAGCTAAACACTTCCGTGATTTCATCAGTGTAATATGATTTTATTTGAAAAGAAAATAATTTTTGGAAAGACATATTCTAACTTCAAAGGGAGGTATATCCGTCACAGTGCAAGTTTGATTTTTCCTTCGTCACGTTGCGTCAGTTCATATCGTACTTCTGTGCCAATGAATGAACCCTCTACTCTAGCATAGTTTTGAGAAATTGATTGTGGGGTTACTGTTAAAGCTGGAATTTCTTGACATGGGGGATGTCTGTTAGTTGTCTCAGCCTTATCAATAACATAAAGTTGTCAATATAATCTCTCTACGGAATGTTAGGTGTAGTGGAATACTTGATGTGAAGTTGGCTTTTATTCTTGAACTGTTAGGGGCCTCCTAGTTCGTATGGTCTTGGCGGCTTCATTGGCAACAAAAAATGCAAATGACATAGCAATGGGACATTTCCAAAAAGCAAATATACTGTAAATTGGCTGTTACGTATATATTGACGTTTACATATTGTTAAACAACGTATCTTAAAAAGGTTTATGTGATCTAGTTTAAAAGGAATATGACCTTTCTGTCATGACAGTAGCTCTGCTTAAATAGTATTTTCTCTTTGTACCATATTTTACAGCCAAAATGTCGTGTTATTTTCAATAATGTTACCAACCCAGTGCGTCAAAGTTCGTAATATAGGCAGGTGCAAATAATTTGTCAAGATGGGTACCATTTTAGGCAAGGTTTCTATGTTTGGATTTTATTAGACATGATAAGAGCAGATATTTCTACATAAATATTTGATATGTGTAGAAAAATATGATAAAATGTAGGCAAAAGTGGTGAAAAAGGCAGACACCAACCTGTACAATAGATATAAGATAGTTCAATAAGAAATTATTTGAGAATTGCTGTGTTAAAAGGATTTTCCACTGATTTCATAATGGAACGTTGCAAAAAATGACATGATAAGAAGAAAGTCAATTTTAAAATCAGAAAATGAAATATTTGATAGTGTAGAAAAATATGATAAAATGTAGGCAAAAGTGGTGAAAAAGGCAGACACCAACCCGTACAATAGATATAAGATAGTTCTATAAGAAATTATTTAAGAATTGCTGTGATAAAAGGATTTTCCACTGATTTCATAATGGAACGTTATATTGCAAAAAATGACATGATCACAAGAAAATCAATTTTAAAATCAGAAAATGACATTGTAAATACTTATTTGGTAGAATTAAGAAACTCCCAATAAATATGTGTTGTTTGAAATACAATTTAAAAATGAACAGCTGTTTGATTAAAGTAAAAAGTATCATTCACATGGCCAAAATGTAAACAACTCTGTGGATGGATCTTTAAAGGCTTCTGGGGCAGAGTCCTAATAGATTTTGTTTAGTTTTTCTTTTGATAACTCATCTACAGACCAAGACCTTTCTTTGGACACCTCTACCAAGTTTCTTGTCCCAGCTGTTCTCTCAAATTAGTGGGGACAAAGTTTCCAATTAAATATTTAGATTCCCCCATGTTAATCTTATGGGAGAACCTCCAACTTTGATGGCCTGTGGGGCAAAGGCCGAGGATTTTTATTACAGGAATTGGTAAAAGGGGGCGTCTACACAAAAAATACTTTATTTTGACACGTCGTTTGTAAAAATCCGTCCATTATTAACGGAGGAGTAGTGTTTTGTAGAAATCGCCTTCACGTATTATATATAAGGATATGGTAGCCTATTGTGTTTTTCTGTTACATATAAAACCCCTTCAATAACTCAGAACGTAGTTGCATGGCTTTACACTTGTACAGTATTATTATAACGATTCTATGTCCAAGGCCCAAGGCCACAAAACATAACAGTGGTATTTCTACTTCAGGGTGGGGGCTATATAGAAATGATGAAATGACAGTACAGTTTTTGATCTAGTATTTACAAGTGTGTTTTCCTGTGCAGGATGTCGTTTGTGAAGGGTTGGGGTGCGGAGTACCATCGGCAGGATGTGACCAGCACTCCATGTTGGATAGAGGTTCACCTGCACGGACCCCTACAGTGGCTAGACAAGGTGCTTACACAGATGGGCTCGCCTCACAACCCCATCTCATCAGTGTCATAACCAAAGATGCCATCAACATGTTGCGTTCCAAGATCTCAGACTTTACCTTGCCAGAGAGGGTAAACAACGACGGAGTGAATGTTTAAGGTCATTTTTGTCATTTCTAAGTGTTCAGCTCTACAAGTGAACTGTTTCAAAATCTGGGCCTGGATTTGCTTAGTTTTGTATCAGTCACATTGGTGAAGGATCATGTTAGGACGTTGCAATTTTTCTCCTCCTTCGGTTACAATGCTACACAGATGTTATCATTTGACTCTTGATACAACTAGACATTCCATCCCACCTTAAAGTTGGGACGTAATTGATTTGAGTCACGGACAGAGTGTGTGCTGGTATAAATTGCTGATTTCTGACGAATACGCTGACTTTTTACCAAGTCAACCTGATAGGAAAACTTATGGACACTAAAATCTAGGCTGTCACATCAAATCTCTCAGAACCACCAATTATGTAAGAAAATTGAATATTGTACTGTAGCACATTCTGTGAGGGACTCTTTCAACTATGTTTTTTATAAATAAAAGATTGGCGACATCGGGTCCATATAGATGGGATGGCTACTTCACTATCCAAAGTCAATGATATAATCTGATTTTCATTGTGTGAAGCTATTGCGATAAGTTTGAAAATATAAATCTCGCACACATATATGTACTTTTGAATCCTAAACGCTGTGTCCATTGTCGGTTTTGTAAGGGAAATCTATGAGCCTAATTAAGGAGGTTTTTTAGAAAGGTAGTTCAGTTAGCTAACTTGAGAAAGAATAGAGTTTAAAAGCTCATAGGTTTACTAGAAAAGGTCACAAACTAAATATAATTTCAGCATGTGATAGGACATATTCAGAAAGTATGGTTATGAGAAACTCTCTGAATATGTCCTCAAGGAATAAATATTGTGGTTCGACCTTTTTTTGTGTATCCATACCCTGAACAATTGGTTACCATTTTTATTGTTTGGCAAAAACGCAAAACAAAAGATGTTCATCAAAGTATGCAAGGTACCAAAACTTAGTCTTGATCACAGGTCCAGTGAGAATTACTTTTAGAGCTCATTTTAATGAAATTAAGGAAAATAGTGGTTGGGGAACTGTCATGAAAGTTCAATAACGCATTCATAAGTCTACCTTCTAAATAGTTTCAGAACATAAATTCAAATTGTCTGTAAATTTCACCAAATTTAAATGTATATTTTTTAAAGTTTGTTTGTCTATTGTATGTATTGGACCTCTCCAGTCCGCGTCTACCAATCAGGTGCAATATACTCCGCTTGACGGAGTTTGAGATTTATTTGTCTTAGTTTTTGTTTCTTAACGTTATCTAGAGGAGATTGTAGTTAAATGTGTATTTATGTAATATTTTAGCACTTGTGTTAAGTTCCTCTGTTGAAGTTTTCTGTTTTTATTTTATTTGTTGTAAATTTGGAACAAACCTGCTCATTCTTTAGATTTAAGGTTGTCAACGAGTGTGTGCGATATTGTGAATAAAATGTCTCGTAAGTCTTGCCCTGGAAACTTATCTTTGGTTAGATACATATTTTATTATATTGTTTTTAAATATTTTAGTGCTGTTGTTCAGTCGAGTATTAGATAGTTTTATGTAGGATGAGTTTTATTTTAATAATTCATATTGTTTACGTCTCATGTTGGATTTAGTTGAAAGTTTTACGTATTCATTTGCTCTGGAAACTTCCAAGGTGATCTCACAGACCTAAAAATCAAACCAGTACAAAAGAAATATGTTAAAACAAAGATTTAGATCGATATTAGGAATATATATTGCAGCAAACAAAAGGGTAAAGCTTAATGATTTGTTAATAATGTAGATAATGTTTTCTTGCTAAACTTTTAAATTTACATTGGAAGTAAAAACGATAATAATTAAGCTAGCTACAAATAAACATTAGTAAAGGGTAATTTACTATTACAAAAATTGCAAACTTACAATTAGGTCGACGAAATAGTATAATATTTGCATGTATGAAGTTTTTATTATACACTAATGTTTACATGAGATTTTTTATCAGCCATACAAGTTTTACGATTATATTTTTGATACTTAATAAATATTATTCACTTCAGTTTTGTCCTGCATAATGAATGGCACAAAAAGCATGAATATTTTGATACTTTTTTTATTTTGTTTCAATCAATGATAATGTTAGTTGTTAAGAGTTATTAAATAATTTACTCCACATATCTGGTAACACGTGGCATAATCATAATTACTAGAAACTGTAAGTAAATATTGTTTAGTAATAATATTATTTTAAACAGACTTGTAAAATACTACCCTTGATGTGCATGGTAAGGTATTGCATTTATTTCTATTGTTACAAAATGTTAAAACATCCAAATATTTTTTTTTTTAACTATGTGTCATTCGAGCATGAAATTGAAATATTTTTATATGTTAACTCTTGAATTGTTTTTGTTTGCCTGTATTTAAGGATGAAAGATTGGTTACCACTTTTCTTAATGTTCATTTTATATTGCTAGACACTTAACTTTATAATTCATTTCAATAACTTTAAGAAGTTTATAATCTATACAAATAAGAGAAAAGTGAGAATTTAAGAATAATTTTTGTACAAAACCGAAATTTATATATACAATCTGTAGAACTGGTTCTCAGCTGGTATTTTAAGTTCTTTGTTGATGTTACACAATATGTCGTAATGAATGTGATTTGTAATTGCTGTTTCAATATCTTTTTGTTATGTACAAATTTATTTGTCAGAAGTATTGCAGCTGTTGTATTATAATAGTTTAAAATTCACAGAAAGTATTGACAGATTTTGACAGTCATAAGTCGTAGTTAGGTCCACTTGTGTACTGCAAAAAGTATTGAAAACTATTTTTGGTATTGAACCTGCAACTTGCGCAAAGTTTGTGAGCTCATCATCCACTCACCCATCCAGCTCTTTTGTGAATGATATGAATAAACAACCGATTCATTACTAAACAATTTAAATTTTGTGGACCCCTATTGTGCTAATAGATAACAATACATATTTATCTCTATTCAGTAGTCGATGGCGATATTGACTTAAAATACCTGATTGCTTAAAAGTTTGCTATGAAGTTTTCACACATCAACTTTATCCGTCAAGGCGTAATGCAGAACTTCGCTTAGAGAGAGCACAAATTAAAAAGCATATATGTTTTTATGATACTAAAATTAAATGTAATTGCCAAAATAAATCAGGACATATTTAATAATTTTTGTAAATTTCTCATACTTTCTGTGAATTTTTAATCAGAAATGTTTCTATGAACAACGCCTTTATGGTATGTGAATTCAATATACAATTGTCAAAATATCCACTGAGTCTATACAATTCTTGAATCATAGAACTTATATATTTTTGTGACAACTAATTTGACCTACCCTGGTTGTATTGACAATTGTATACTAGAATGATGCTTTTACAAATGATCAGTATGATCTAACAGTTTGCCTTTGTTTTGTGCCTTTTGCGCTGGTACCCTTTGTTCCCCTGGGAGTGAATTGAACCTTTTTAGATACATTGCGAAATAAATTATTTTAGTTTGTACATTTCCGTTTACAAATTTAATGTACAAACCAAACACACTTAAAATGACAATAAATTTCACCTGAGACCCTAAAATGGGGTATTTTGTGAGCAGGAAATGTTTTAAATGTAAAGCCCCAATGAGTGAAAACTCATTTTTATTAAAGAAGAATATCAGTAGAAACTAGACAACATTCTTGTGTTATTCTTTGGAGGATGAGCAAACTGTTGAAGTTTGCTTGTTTCTGGATGTATTCTAATCCGATTTGCCAATCTGGTGAACTTCTTTATTCTATTCCAAATCATTTTACTATAAAAACACTTTTCTACCCTATAGCAGCAAACTTATAGTGCTTGTTAAACCTAATGTGATTTAAATGGAGAATAAATCTGACTGTTTGCTGTGTATAACTGAACAATTTTGAAAGTAAAATACTTGTAACTACTGTAGTATTTATATTGGTCCGGTTCACTCCCAGTGTTAGCTTGTGTAGCGTCCCGCTGGCCATCAATGTTCTGTGATACAGAACCCAGAAGACATCTTCACAATGATCTGAGTGTCATGTCATTCCATTCCTGTGTCTCATGCTCCATTATTAAAACGTGTGTTTTTCTACCGTGTTGTAATTTATTTCCAGCCTAGAATTGCAAGTTGTCTTTTAAATTTGGTAATTTGTCACAAAAAAATGTTTATCTTGTGATCAGTAAGTGGTAGTTGCTCTCAGTGTCCAAATATGTGCCAATCAACTTTCTAGATTTAAATATTTTTATAGCATGACAATGACAGATGGAACTTTCAAACTTTAAAATGAATTTAAAACTGATCAGGTTGTTATAACTCAAGTGTGTATAAGGGCAAGGGGGAGGTCTGCTGATTCTTCTCCCCATAACAGGAAAATCAAACACTCGTTGCTAATTTGAACTCTAAATCTGACCATGAAAACCTACTGTAAAACATGGGAGCTACTGTCAAATTATTATTGGCTCTCTTTCTTGAACAATTTTAATTGTTTCCATTCTAGTGCAAAAAAATTTGGCAGTTTAGTTCATGAAATAACAAAAAGAACTAGGCACGAGTCAGCTGAATTGCTGGTTAGCCTATATTAATAGTTGACTTGAGACAAATATTAAGTCACTAGCTGTAACCCGCGGGCTTTGCCCCGTTTAACTTCTTAATTTTCAAGATTATCTCGTTCGCATGGCTCAATCACGTCCTGGTTGAAGTTTGTTCGCTATGCTCACTCACCTTTAGGTTGGAGCTCGTTCGCTACGATCACTCACCTTTAGGTTGCAGCTCGTTCGCTGCGCTCACTTGCCTTCAGGTTAGCTCGTTCGCTACGCTAACTCGCCTCCAGGTTGTAGTTCGTTCGCTACGCTCACTCACCTTTTGGTTGCAAATTAGCTGTTGACATAAATGTAAAAGAAATAATAGTGCTGCACCCTGTTGGTAGTCCTTGTAACTTTAATGCTATTGAACATCATAGAACAGAACCAACTTGTTTAATTGAAACAGCTGTTAAGATTAAATAATTCCATTTCTCATAAGGTTAACATGGGAAACTCCAGAACCACTGGGGCGGAGCCCGAAAGGATTTTTGAAATAATAATATGCCTATATGTTAATCGGGAATGTGACCTATCATCATGCCAAATTTCAGCCCAATCCGACCAGTATTTTTCGCGTTCACTTGTCACAAACATACATCCATCCATACATCCATACATCCAAACTTTCTCATTTATAATATTAGGAGGATAATGGTATACTAAACTAGAACAATGGCTACTGAGTGTATTTTTTTCTTACAGCTGTGTCATGTCATTAGGAGAGGTAATGTTTTGTTTCTTGTTGCAGAACTAACAGATATTCAAAATTTAAACATTTAATATTTTAACCCATTAATGAAATTAAACTGACCCGAAATGTGTGTGTCAACATTTTCCCTCTGATAAGAGATTGCGATTCTCCAGGTGTAACTATTAGGATTGTGCAGAAAAGCTCATGGGTTATTTAAAATAAATCATCAACAAATTAAAATAAATAATTTTTTTTATTTATTTTAATCCCTTTTTTTTGCTCCTTTCCCCACAGCATTGCAACATATGTTATACCATTTATTTTGATGGTGTGAAGGACAAAATATAACTCAAATTATTTATGAAGCAGATTTGGGGGTTACTGTAATTTATTTGTATTTTAGCTCTGAATACAAACAGATAGTTAAATAAACCAACACCACATTTTGTGAGATCATATACATACTGCAAACTCCCAAAATAGCAATACAAAAAGGTCATTTTTTTAAAAACACTACTGAGGGATCAAGAAAAAATGAAAACAATGACTTGAGACAAATATTAAGTCACTAGCTGTAACCCGCGGGCTTTGCCCCGTTTAACTTCTTAATTTTCAAGATTATCTCGTTCGCATGGCTCAATCACGTCCTGGTTGAAGTTTGTTCGCTATGCTCACTCACCTTTAGGTTGGAGCTCGTTCGCTACGATCACTCACCTTTAGGTTGCAGCTCGTTCGCTGCGCTCACTTGCCTTTAGGTTAGCTCGTTCGCTACGCTAACTCGCCTCCAGGTTGTAGTTCGTTCGCTACGCTCACTCACCTTTTGGTTGCAAATTAGCTGTTGACATAAATGTAAAAGAAATAATAGTGCTGCACCCTGTTGGTAGTCCTTGTAACTTTAATGCTATTGAACATCATAGAACAGAACCAACTTGTTTAATTGAAACAGCTGTTAAGATTAAATAATTCCATTTCTCATAAGGTTAACATGGGAAACTCCAGAACCACTGGGGCGGAGCCCGAAAGGATTTTTGAAATAATAATATGCCTATATGTTAATCGGGAATGTGAGCTATCATCATGCCAAATTTCAGCCCAATCCGACCAGTATTTTTCGCGTTCACTTGTCACAAACATACATCCATCCATACATCCATACATCCAAACTTTCTCATTTATAATATTAGGAGGATAATGGTATACTAAACTAGAACAATGGCTACTGAGTGTATTTTTTTCTTACAGCTGTGTCATGTCATTAGGAGAGGTAATGTTTTGTTTCTTGTTGCAGAACTAACAGATATTCATAATTTTAACATTTAATATTTTAACCCATTAATGAAATTAAACTGACCCGAAATGTGTGTGTCAACATTTTCCCTCTGATACGAGATTGCGATTCTCCAGGTGTAACTATTAGGATTGTGCAGAAAAGCTCATGGGTTATTTAAAATAAATCATCAACAAATTAAAAAAAATAATTTTTTTTATTTATTTTAATCCCTTTTTTTTGCTCCTTTCCCCACAGCATTGCAACATATGTTATACCATTTATTTTGATGGTGTGAAGGACAAAATATAACTCAAATTATTTATGAAGCAGATTTGGGGGTTACTGTAATTTATTTGTATTTTAGCTCTGAATACAAACAGATAGTTAAATAAACCAACACCACATTTTGTGAGATCATATACATACTGCAAACTCCCAAAATAGCAATACAAAAAGGTCATTTTTTTTAAAAACACTACTGAGGGATCAAGAAAAAATGAAAACAATAATAGTATGGTACCTAATGAAAATTCAAAGTGATTTAAACTTAATTTATCTCCCATGATTGCAATAGTACATTTTAGTAATATGTTTAATATTAATTGTCATGAATTGGTAATCAAATCAAAGTACTGTATTAACATAAATAACATACTTTTTCCTGTCACTTTGCCAACATTTAAGCAATTTTATTTAATACTAGCTGGCCCGACAGACGTCCTGTCCTAATGTGGTTTTATGTCAAATGCTCGTTCATTTTCAAGATGAGCACGTTCGCATGGCTCAATCACGTCTTGGTTGAAGTTCGTTCACTACACTCACTCACCTTTAGGTTGGAGCTCGTTCGCTGCGCTCACTTGCCTTCAGGTTAGCTCGTTCGCTACGCTAACTCACCTCCAGGTTGAAGTTTGTTCGCTACGCTCACTCACCTTTTGGTTGCAAATTAGCTGTTGTATAAATTGAAAAAAATAATAGTGCTGCACCCTGTTGGTAAACCTATTAACTTTTTAATGCTATTGAACGTCACAGAATTAAATTATTTAGTTGAACCAGCTGTTAAGAATCTTTAATTCCATTTAAATATGAGTACTCAAAAGGTTAACATGGGAAACTCCAGAGCCACTGGGGCGGAGCGGGAGCCCTTTTGACGGATCTGCACCAAACTTCACACAAACCATCCTTGAATAATGCTTAATAATGCCTTAAAGTTTCATTAGAATCTGTCAAGCGGTTTTGGAGTCTATAAAGGACAAACAAACATACATACATACAAACAAAACATACATTGGTTTTATATATATAGAAAACTATGTGTTTAACATTTACTGACTGACCTCTAGCAATCAACCAACAACCAATCAATCAAGAAAACTGCACACATTAAAAGTACCCTTAATATTAATTTTATTTAATGACATGCACTTTAACATGAAAGACAGGGTTTATTCTCAAATAGAAAAAAATGTGAGGGGAAGCCTTGTATTATCCCAAGCTAATGGTCCATTATATGACTGATAAAATTAAAATGCACACGTTAAAACTTCTACAAATTTGACAAAAGAAGTCTGGAGTATCCCAAGTCAACGGTATCTATGATGACGGTCATGCGCCCTAGCGGTCGCGGCGGGAGCTACTGTCGCGGACGGATGGCAGAAGCAGAACCCTGTGGCCTGTAGTATTGATTTGTGCCGCTCGCTGGAAGTTTAGTGTCGCGCAGTCGATTTCGGTGTTTTGTTCCCGAGGATATTTAGCAGCCAAGTGCAGTTTATTGTGTAATGAAGCCACCTGTGTTTCAATTTGACAGACATAAATAGTTGAAAACCGACAATGGCCAACAGGGTGAGTAGGCAATAGTTGTCACTTAAATAAATTTTAACTCCGAACTGTATTTGCAACGTTGGATTACAATACTGTATTAATACTTTGTTTTGACACCTCAAATTATGATAAAATTTGTTATGAAACCTTTTCATTCACATCCTGCATATTTACTAAATATTAAAGTCTGTACAGAGACGGACTCTAATAAGAGAAATCATGAAAATGCCAGAATTTCGAAAACCATCACCCAGAAATGTATGGATGAATCCCACCTTCAAACATACAACCTTCGAATTGTGTGTGGTGTAGGTAGTAAATATATTTTTCTAGTTGACGTGCAAGCTCGAATCATTAACGTTTTATGTTAGCCCAGGTGTATTGTGCAAACATGATCATTGTGCACCTGTTTGTTATACGTGAGCAGATCCAGACATGTCACCAACACCAACTTGCACAAAACATGATCGTGCAACAGCACATTTCATTGTCTGAATCATTCTAGTTCACCGCCAGATAAAATTGGATTCAATCATGTATGATAAATCAATTTATTTTTAAACATAGTCTACGTAATTGTAAGGTTTGGACGATTCATTCATTCTATCACTAAAATCTAAATTATTCCCAATATTAGTCCGCGCGAAAATTGCCTTCTTATTGTTATTATTAGTAAAGGCAATTGACGTCTTTATAACCTATCTTTTAATTTCAGAACAGAACCAAGTTT